TATCAATATAATAATATAGTCTATATAATTCATATCTAATGAAAATTTATATATTTTATTTGAAAAAGTTGACCAAATGCAGCTCAGTGATGCACATAGTAGATGACTACCTTACCCAGGAGCATTCAATACCCTCTTATCTCTTGCCTATTTCTGTTTTAGAAATCCAAAAGCAAAACTCTTTCTTACTGTGCCTAGGTGCGGGGATGACCATATAACACAGTTTTGGTCAAGCAGGTGTGATAAGTCCCCTGGCTGAGACTTCAGGAAAGCTTTCAATTATCTGTTAAAAAGGGATAGGCTCAGCTTCTGCCCCTCTTGTCCCTGTACCCCTTCCACCTTTTTCAAGAGCGCAAAATTGAAGCCCAAAACTGTAGCAGCTGTTTGGTGATCAGGAGGAGACCAGCAGGAGGACAAAGGCTTCTGAGGTAAGGAATGTGGACCAGTCAGTTCTTGTCAGCATCACTGACTTGCTGTCACAACCCTGAACTACCTACCTCTGGACTTCCTGTCATGTGAGAAAAAGAAAACTCTAATACAAAAAGTGGATTTTAGATTGTGAGCTAGGGACTTGAATTAAAAAACTGTGCTCTGGTCCTGGCTCTGTTACTTACTAGCTATGTGACATTGGTCATGTCACAGAGTTTTATTTTCTTCTCTGTTAGTCAAGAGAACACTTGGCCTTCTTAGAATTATCCTGAGTTAATGTGTGCTCTATAGCCTCATAAATTGTAGGGGGTTCTATCAATGTAAGGTACTGTTTATTTAATACACAGGTGGTTGACATACACAGTGACTCCACAGTTACACATAACGGGAATGAGGCGTCTGCTTTCTGTTCAAAAAAGAATTTGTAGACACGTTGACTGGCTTAATTTAAAACTTCTTGGGGATTCTGCTCTGAAGTTAGGAGCATCCAAGGTATGAAAAGCTGGTTATGTTCCAAAATCTGTTTGGCTACTTTGGGTCAGCCAAACTGAGCTGGCACGTTCTTGGTGAGGTTTGCTGTGGAAGTGAGCCAGTTTCCTGCCTTACCTTGGGTAATCAGTATCCTCTGTTAGGGAGATCTTTTCAACTCTAGAGGATGCTATGGGAGTGTGTACAGGAAAAGACTTCCTGACAAAGAGGTTAAAGGCCTATCATGCTTCCAAGAAAAGAAGTTAAATTGGTCTCCTTTGAATATTGTAGATGTAGAAGTCAAGATTTAATGTACGGACATCGGTCTGCCTAACTCCATGGAAAAAGGTAGAGTACAGTGCCTCTGGGCATGCTGTTTCATTGTGGCCACTTGGCACAGGCTCTGTCTTTCAATAGAACGCTCTGCACCTCCACTCAAAAGTATGTACACACATACATGCACCCCACCTCTGTCTGCCAGCAGTATGTATCCTCGGCCTTTTAAGATTTAGCTCAGTGTCTCTTCCTTTCTGAAGTCTTTCCTTATCTCCCAACCAGGTGTTCTAAAGCACAGCTGGTACGTTATTGTAGTTTGTTCCTACTTGTCTGCCCTTGGCCATTAGACTGTGAACTCCTGGAGGACAGGGGCATAGTGTTATTTGCTTTTGTGTCTCTAATATCCATTATAGTGTCTGTCTCATAGTAAGCAAAGCTTAACAAGTTTGTTGAATAATTAAATGCATTGATAAATGAGTAGAAAATGGGTAAATGGTAGTTAACACTCAACTAGTGATTATTAGGCTGGCAGCTCTCCCTACTATGTAGGGTATAAGAATCTCAAATACCCCACTACTCATGTAGGTAGAGACTGTCAACTCAATGGAGATAGAAAACAGAGTGTCCAAAAATGTTGACATCATACTGATTTAGCCAGGTAGATCCTCTAATGTTTCCAGTTACTCAACTCAGTGGGCCACTGCATCAGCACAGGTCACTTCGGGTGGGTACCTGACACCAACTATTAGTATTAAAGACGGACGAAGATCGTTAACTTTTTAAAAGATCACAAATATTCACTTTTGGTGATTTAAAAAAATGTTTCTTCTTTTGTCTAATGATATGGGAGGAATTTTTTATGAAAGACTTGTTACAGTTCACAGCAAGTTTTCAAAGGATTTGAATGCAAATGAATAACAACATGTCCATCCTACCTTGCAAGACTAGAAATGAGAAAAAGAGATTGAACATGGTTTTTGAAGAATCACATATCACCTTTCCTAAGTAGATTTTCTTGACCTGTTTTCGGCACCACTATCGACATAGTAATTAAATTAGTCTCAGTTGCACTCTCTTAGCACAATGTTCAGATTTCTTCTTTTTAACACCTTTATTGAGATATAATTCACATGTCGTATAATTCACTGAGTCAAAGTGTACAATTCAGTGGTTTCTAATATATTCACAGATACGTGCAACCATCACCATGATCAATTTTAGAACATTGTTTTCACCTCCCTATGCCTCTATCCTCCCCTGCTCTAAGTAACCACTAATTAACTTTCTGTCTCTATGTATGTCCCTATTGTGGACTTTCATATGACTGGAATAACATAATATGTGGTATTTTGTGATTGGCTTATTTCACTTAGCATAATGTTTTCAAAGTTCACCCATTTGTAGCAAGAAATAGTACTTCATTCCCCTTTATGGCCAAATAATATTTCATCGTATAGCTTTACCACATATTATTTATCCATTTATCTATTAATGGACATTTGAATGATTTCCATCTTTTGGCTATTATGAACAATGTTATAAACATTGGTGTAGAAGTTTTTGTGCGGACATTTGTTTTCATTTCTCTAGGGTATGTACCTAGGAACGAAATTATAATAATTCTGTTTAATCATTTAAGGAAGTGCCAGATTGTTTTCCAAAACAGCTGCACAACAAGGGTTCCATTTTTCCATATGCTTGCTATCTGACTTTTTTGTTTAGCTATCTTTGTGTTTGTGAAATGGTATCTCATTGTGGTTTCGATGTGCATTCCCTGATAACTAAAGATGTTGAACAGTTTTTTTATGTGCTTATTGTTTATTTGTACATCTTCCTTGGAAAAATATTTATTCAGATTCTTTGCCTATTTTTTAATTGGATTATTTGTTTTTTAATTATTGAGTTATAAATGTCTTTTATACATT